TTTAAGAAAACATTTGAAAGAAGGGAGGGATTTAGCCCAGGTGACAATTCTTCTTTAGAAAAGCCTTCCAGGCAGACAGAAAGCTGCAGTTAAGGTGGCAAAATGCCTTGTTTTCAAGGGACATCAAGGGGACCAGCTTGGTGCTCATAGATTGAGAAAAGAGGAGAGTAACCAGTGATGGGATTAGACACATAGCTTTGGTTTTGGTGTGGTATCGATCATGTAGAACCTTCTTTGCAATTGTTAAGGTAATAACATTGCAGGGTTTTGAGAAAAGCTGTGTGATCAAATATACATTTCGAGGTATAACCCTATTGCTGTTTTGTGAATAAATTGTATGGTTGCACATATACAAGAAGGAAACTAATTAGGAGGCTGTTTCAAGAATTGACAGAAAGAATAATGTTCACTCAAAATAGAGTAGTATCATGAACATGGTGAGACTGATAAAGTGCTCGATGTATTATTATGAAGAAAGCCAACAGATTTTCCAGTGGTTTGGATGTTAGGTGTGAGTGAAAGAGGAATGTTTAAGATGACTCCAGGTTTTCTTGGCAAGTAGCATAGAAGGATGCTACTTCTATTTTGGGGGTTCCATTGTGAACCCCCAAAATTTGAGACAAGTCTGAGTTTATTTTGCCAAGGTTGAAGATGCACACCCATGACACAGCCTCAGAGTCCTGGCAATATATGCCCAAGGTGGTTTAGCCACAGCTTGGTTTTATACATTTTAGGGGGCTAAGAGACATCAATCAATATATGTAAGAAGTACACTGGTTCCGTCCAGAGAGGTGGGGACAATTTGAAGCAGGGGAGGAGTCTTCCAGGTCACAGGTAGGTGAGAGAAAAATGGCTGTATTCTTTTGAGTTTCTGACAAGCCTTTCCAAAGGAGGCAATCAGAACATGCATCTTTCTCAGTAAGCAGAGGGATGACTTTGATTAGTCATGGGAGGCAGATTTGTCCTGAGCAGTTCCCAGCTTGAATTTTCCATTTAACTTAGTGATTTTGGGGGATATATATATATATATATATATATATATATATATATATATTTCACACCATTCAACTGAGGTGGAATACTTATAAGTGAATCAGTTTAAGACAAAGACTGTGTCCTAAAAGGCTCACATTCAGAAGAAGGAGATGATAAGGATAATAAAACAGCTAATATCATTAACTAACTGAACTAGCGTGCTAAGTATTTTTCTATAGTTGTTTCATGGGAGAGCAGAGGAAAAAAATGTCATTTCAATTTGTGATCATTTCAGTGGGGGGCAATTGATCAATGCATTGAAGAATGAATAGGATAAGAACAAACCGAGAAGAAAGGATTACTAGTGAAAAAAATTGATTATGAGCAATAGCAATGCAGAAGTTAAGGCTAAGGGCTTGGGGAATGGACATGGTTTGTTCTGACTAGAGTAGAAGGTGTGTGATGATGATGGTTGGTAAAGATATGGAACACATAGAGAAGGGACTGTAGGAAAAAGAATCAAACTAAAGGACACAATATTTACTATACTGATGAGCTTTGCACTTATCCAACAGATGTGGGGGAAGTGGAAGGTGGTATTTTTAAACAGTAATGTAAAAATCCGTAGGTGAAAAGTAGGCCAGTAATTTGTTTGTTCCTTTTTTTCTGTTTATTGTCCAAAAGCAGTTAAGCACATTATAAATAAATCACAAAAATATATATGCAGTGGCCAGGCATGTGGCTCACACCTGTAATTCTAGCACTTTGGGAGGCTGAGGCCAGGGTATCACGAGGTCAGGAGTTCGAGACCAGCCTGGCCAATATGGTGAATCCCCATCTCTACTAAAAATACAAAAATTTAGCCACACGAAGTGGTGCATGCCTGAAATCCTAGCTACTTGGGAGGCTGAGGCAGAAGAATCACTTGGATCTGGGAGGTGGAGGTTGCAGTGAGCCAAGATCGTGCCGCTGCACTCCAGCCTGGGCGACAGAGTGAGTGTCTCTCTCTCTTTCTCTCTCTCTCTCTCTCTCTCTCTCACTCTTTCTCTCTCTCTCTCTCTCTCTCTCTCTCTCTCTCTCTCTCTCTCTCCATACACACACACACACACATAGGCTCAAATTCAGAAGAAGGAGATGATATATATATATATATATATATATATATATAGAGAGAGAGAGAGAGAGAGAGAGAGAGAGAGAGAGGAGAGAGAGATCTACTTTTTATTATGTAGTATACAGTACATATCTATTCAGTGTAATAAGTGAGCTCCCTAAAGGCATTATCTGAGCTGTTTTATTGTAGTGTTCAGATTTTAATTTGATGACTTCTTTTTTCCCAAGTATGATTTAATGATTTCTCATAACCTTAAATAGAAGGAGGAAAATCACAAAGTGAATAATACCAGTTTTACCATTCATTTGGGTAAGATGTTAAGTGGTTTGTTGTTTACCAATGTATTCTGTGAATCAAAGTGTTGTATGACCATTGTGAGAAAATTGATGCAATGGTCTTATGATTCTTTTTTCTGTTCAAGTCCTGTGCCCCAAGAGTGAGATTTTGGGAAACTTTTAGTAGCAGTCATTCAAAAACAGGAAATGTATTTATTTCTCTTACTTGTAAAACAAAAAGAAGTAGAATTACCTGTAAAACGTTTGATGCTTTTTTGCATGTGCTTAGACATGTATTACTTAATCTAGAAATAGTGTTATAGTTGGAGCCCTAGGAGAAACGGTACATTTCTTGGGATACTTTAGAGTTATCAAATGTCTTGTTAGGAGTTAGGAAGGAGGCCTCTCTGATTTCAATTTTTGAATGGTATTTAAAGTGATTAATATTTATTATGACTTCTATATGATACAAAAGGAAAAACTGATCTTAGAGCCAAAAGATATGGATTTAAACTCTGCATTCTTTGTAGTGGCTTGAGATTGACTCAAACTCCTTGAGCTTGTCCTTAAAATGGGCGTGATCATACCTTTTCTACCTTAGTCCCCAGTAACTATGAAGATTAAAAGGAAATTGATGTAATGGTAATATAATCATTGTAAAGCACTTTTTAAATGTTAGATATAGGACTTAAGGTTATTGCTATATAATGTACACTACATAATAAAAGATCTCTCCTGGAAAAAGATAAATATTAGATTTAATACACTGCTGAGATAACAGAGTTATTTCAAAATGATAAATGAATTGGTTTTCTTGATTTTTGTGATCCTCAATTTTTTTTTATCTACTCATATGAAGCTCTCCCTTTTAGATTCAGGTTTTATGAATCTGCTATACCTTTTGTATGTCCACATATCTGTCTTTTAAACTACTAATACTTAAATACTTAAGACAAAAGTGTTGATCTGAATTATGATCTGAGTTGAAGTTTACATGTACGAGAGGACAGATCTCTTAACTGTCAGTCTCTAGTTCTGGCTTCCAATTTTTCAGATGCTTACATTTCTTCTCAACTATTAGCTGGTGTGTGAGATGAATTATTTGTTACAGCTTTAATGTTATTTTCAGTGAATGGGAGCACAACAGTAGTTGGCAAAATTCAGTGTAATTCAGGCTTATTGTTTGGAGAATGGCTCTTAAAATCAAAGAGTCCTTGTTGAGTTCTTTTTAATCAGTAGTACAGCCCACGCATATATTAGCCAATTTTGAACTTAGAAATAAACTAATTTGAATCCTAGCTAAAAATAGATACTTCAAATATAGTTGTTTTTCTTTTCATATATAAAGCTTTTGATTTCATTGTAAAAATATTCATGTCATGAAGATTCTGCATGAGTGGTAGGTGATTTAAAATGACTTATCATCATCATCACCTATAATTTTTTTAAAAAAGAATGACTATTTTTACCCTCATGTAGTAAGTTAAATATGTATTCTTTTAAAAGTTTGACTAGAATCTAAATTATGATCTAGATCTATAGAAAATAGATGGAGGTCCTGCTAAAACGTTATAGACTGAATGCAGTTATTGAAAGTGAAAAACTATTGATTGGAGAGATGTTCTGAAGACTCAGTTTCTATTTGAATATGATTCAAATGAATACTTTTATATATTTAAAGGACTTTGGTAATCTACTTATGGTTAATTGGCTCTACTTAAAGTAAGGTGCAATAGCACACTTTCAGAATACAAAAGGTGTAAAACCCAAGGCATAGCTTTCTGAAATTTTGAACTTGGGCTTTTATAATGTTTTAAAGAATTATGTCTAAATGGCATTATATAATGGCCAAATAAACTTTACGTAGAAAATATACTTTTAATATATTAGGCACATGGGTTAATTGTTAGGTTAGTGGTAATTTAAACTACTCTGCTTAGAGTAATAGGTGCCTATTTTATATTTCTATACTTACTTTGAAAAATAAGATGATTGGCATCCCATATTTCATTTGATTAGTTTATTATTCACGTGTTCTTTTTCTTCCATCTAGCAAGTCATAGTAATATTTTGATTTCACTATGCCAGTGCTTTAGAGAAAATGTGTGTGTGTGTGTGTGTGTGTGTGTGTGTGTGTGTTTGTGTGCATGCATGTTTTCTATTTGTGTTTTTGTTATGTCATTTAAGGGGAAGCTAAGAACTAATGATGTTATGACTATTCTGAACACTAACAAAGCCCGTTAATCTGCAATGCTCAAAGTATTTAATTTAGTAAAACCGTCTCACGTCAGATAAATTGTGGATTTAAGCCCTCTAAATATACAAACTTATTGAAGCAAAGACGTAACACCTGGCTATTAGCAGATATCATTGGGATTGTTTAATTCACAAATTTTTTCTTTCACCGGTCCAGCCACTTTTGGGTCTGTAATAGCATATATTACAACTACAGTTCATTCTAACCATCAGTCAAGCACATTTTTGCTTCCTATTTTTGTGGCAAATAATAATAATGACTTTATACCTTTCTTGGAGCTAAATTAAAAGTGATGTGGCTTTAAATTCCCAGATTTTATTTTCCAGGCTACCAAATAGGTAACAGTCTAAAAATTAGACAAATTTTATTTGTTTTTCAGACCATGTTGATGAGCGAACGATATGCAATGGAATAGCCCCAGAAAAAGATGTTGATGGATTTCATATTATCAATATTGGAAGATTGTGCCTTGATCAGCATTCTCTCATACCTGCCACTGCCAGTGCTGTTTGGGAAATAATAACAAGAACAGGTTGGTAACTTGTGGTCTGCAGGAAATGGGTGCTAGGTACTGAGCTGAGCATTTGTGCACTGAGATTTGATGGGGCCACCTCAGTCCTATAGGATGACAGAAAATTATAAGTCATAAAGCATTAGTATATAGAGAGATGTAAAACTGTAGAAGTCAAAACACAATTCAAAATAAAATGAAGAACATTTGCCAGGTTATAGATAACTGCAGTTGCAACTTAGAGGAAGTGAATTTTCCACACAGTAGTGGTGTGTGTCTACCTTTAAAATATAAACTTCACGCCTTTTGATAGAAACTTTTCTAAAATATATTTTTCTTTACCTTTAAAAATATGTGGTGATCTCATAGTTATCATTTCTATTGGCTTGGGTTTTCATGTTTAGCATTTAACAGGTACTGTGCTGGATTCAGTAATGTTCTCATAGACTCTTACAGTATGTAGAGATGTTTACCTCTATATTAATTGACCCCAGATGGCCTTATATGTTGATGATTTTCCTACCTCCATCACTGTTACTTCTATTTTTGGTAGCATTTTCTCCTTTCTAATCTGCTATTTTTTGAGAAAGAAAAACCTCCAAAGGAAAACAGATTCTAGATTTATACTCTTACAGTGTTAGTGTTGGAAAATCCCTAGTTCTAACTTCTTTGTTTTATTTATGAAGAAATGAGTCCAACAGAAGTAGAATGTACTAAATCTGCAGGCTTTATTTTTTACATCTTTCTATGTCTGTTAAGTTTAACCTTTCTCTCCTATGGAGTAAAAGGCATGAGCTTTGTGAAAAATGCCCCTTTTTTCACTTGTTTTGTCCCAGCATTGCTCAAAGTTTGATTGCCTATTAAGTGTGACATTGCTGTAGTTTGCTTATTTTATAATTAGAAGTTAATATATGTTAAGATTCTATACTTCTCTTAATGTGAATCTCCATGTTTAAAAGTAACTTAATGGCAGCTGAGGAATGTCTGTGGTTTTTAATGAGGACATAATCGGAGAAGAAGTGACAAATCTAAGAAGCATAAAATGAATTATTTATAAATAATGAATGTGGTCATATTATAGACAAGCCACATAATAATTCAGATTTAATTAGAAAATTTTAAAAGAATGTTTCAGCTGGCTGTTCAAATGTTTATTTTACTTCTTGTTGTCAATTCCGCATTTAAACCAAACTCTGTATTTTAAGGAATTCAAACATTTGGAAAAAATGTGGTTGTGGCTGGAAGATCCAAGAATGTAGGGATGCCCATTGCCATGCTTTTACACACTGATGGAGAGCATGAACGGCCAGGAGGTAGGTAGGACCTTGCAAATGCTATGCACTCTCACAGTGTTCTGACTTCTTACAAAATCAAGTAAAGATGTTTGATAATGCAGCTTAGCATATTTGTGGGTTTATGTAATTCAAAGTCTCCTTTATTCCTCATTTAATGATGTGAGAGTCTTGAGAGTGACTATAGGAATTATAGTGACCTTTTTCTCTATTTTTTTTTCTTTTGGCTATATATACTTTCTTTAAAATCATTAACAAAACAGACATTAAGAAAAGGGCAAAGCTATTAGATACAAAAAAATCACATGCCTCAGGAAATAGAAAACAAAACATCTGTTGGATGTAGAATTCCTATGGTGGGGAGGTCTTAGCACTTTAGAAATCAGCTAGTTAGTTCATTTTACAGATGAGTTATCTGAGGCTTAGAGTTGTTACCAGATTATGTAGGTTAAACAAGTAGTTATTGTCCTGTGAGGAGTAGTGACACTCCAAGTCACTAACAAAGCCCAGGAAGGTATGATTAGCCTTTGAGAACATGCAGCCATTCCAGGTGCTGGTCATCTCAACATCATCCGAGGATCTTGGTTTCTTCAACAGCCTAATAGCTAGATACAGAATAGCTCCCTAGAGGTGGAAATGGGGATGGGATGAAAAGGAAATCCAGCAAAGGGGTGATGGGACATTGTTTGTTGTTGTCTGAGCTGGTGCTGTGGGAGGAAAGCACAAGGGTTATTCAGTTCATCACTGTTTGCTAAAATCTGCCTCTTCTTCTAATCTAGGTAAAACACCAAGTTCATGTTCTTAGGAGAAGTAGTCATTGGCCTATGTATGTGTTAGAGATGTTTTGTACTTCCTTTACCATTTATTACTTCTAATCTTTCTCCCCCTAATTTTTGATATAGTACTTCATTGGTTTCTCTAATTCCAAAGAAGAGGAGGGGCTATTTTTCTGCTTTCTAATATTTAACCAGAGTGAGAGACACCTTTATGCTCATCATGTATCACACATACACACACATGCACACATGCATGTACACACAAAAAACATATATAGATAGATTTCTTACCATTATATAATCTTGTTGAATTCAAGTTTCCTGATCTCAAATTTTCAATAATACTTGTTTTAGGATCTTGATTGACATGATACTTAGGAGATAATTTTTTAAAACACAAAGCCCTATGGAAAAAATAATCCCAGTAATAACTTATCTAAATAATCCCAGTAATAACTTATCATAAAAATGATGAATGACACTTTTGAATATTATTTTTCCTTTCTATGTCTAGAGAATTAAATATTGCCAGAAATCAATACATATATATGAATCACAGTAAATTAAGATTTGATAATGACTCCAGGTAATTTTAAAAAGCCTTAGTTTTGAAGAGCTCTTAGAAAGACCAAATCCAGTGGTATGACACTTTTCATGGTACACATCTCGAAAGGTGCATTCCCAGTTTCACTATTCACTTCTAGCTTGGTCTATTGCTGCTTATCTCTCTCTCTGTCTCTGTATAATAAGGATATGGATTCAGATTTGCCTTTATGTAATAATTTCTGTCTCACCTAAGCAAGATGTATTAGTCTGTTCTAATCTTTAACTGTATTAGTCTGTTCTAGTCTGTTTTGTTCTCACATTGCTGTAAAGAAATATCTAAGACTGGGTAATTTATAAAGAAAAGAGGCTTAATTTGCTCACAGTACTGCAGGCTGTGCAGGAAGCATGGAGTCATCTGCTTGGCTTTTAGGAAGGCCTCAGGAAATGTATAATCATGGCAGAAGGCAAAGGGGGAGCCAGCATTTCTCATGGCTGGAGCAGGTGGAAGAGAGAAAGAGGGGAGGTACCATACACTTTTAAACAACCAGATATTATGAAACTCACTATTGCAACAGCAGCACCAAGGGAGATGGTGTTAAATCATGAGAAAGTGCCTCATTATCCAGTTACCTCTCTCTAGGCCCCATCTCCAATATTGGAAATTACAATTGAAAGTTGAGATTTGGGTGGGGACACAGATGCAAACCATATCACAAGATAAAATAATTAGTAATGTTTACCTAAGTATACTATTTTTTTCTTGGAAAATTTTGACCAAGAGCCAATGGGCAGTTTTGTTTTTTTTTTTCACTTTTAACGTTGTTTTCATCTGTAACATAACAAGCAACAGTGTATAGCTCCATGATTTGCTCAGTACTTTCTCTTAAACTATCTTAATTAATTCTCAGTAATCCTAGCATATATTAATGTTATTCCCATTTTACAGCTAAAGGAAACTGAGCTTTGGAGACTTCAGAGGACTCATATAAGGCCATGCAAGGAAACAGGCATTCTGGGGAGCTAGATGCTGAGTTTGTGTTTAAGAGGATAGACATGGAGTTAGGTCCCCTCCATTACCAAGCCCTGTGACCTTGGACAAATTATTTAATCATGTAGACCTCCACTTTCCTCATCTGTAAAATATCAATAATATTAATATCTCCTCAAGTTGGTTATTGTGAAAACTAAATGAAATATTAATCTAAAGCACTAATTACTGTGCCTGACATATAGTAAGTTAAGTGAGCTATTGGTGCATATAGCTGTGGCAGTTACTTTTATTACCACTATTATACTTAAGTCCGTAATCTGTAACTATTCTAATCATGATGTGTGAAGTAACATGATCCGAGATTAACGATGTAATTTTTAACTTTATTTGAATTTTATTTTCTTCCGGATTTGTATATGCAATTTTTGGATCATATCTGGTCTTTTCTGTAAAAATTTGAATAAACTCAGAATTTATAAAAGTTTATAAAATATGTGATTAGAAATAGGACATCATAATTCTCCAAATAGTGCTTAACAGTGTATTTTTTAATAGGCATCAGTATACTGCATGCTAATTTCTTGATTAATTTCAATTTTGAATTATTCATTTGTCTATAAAATATCTGTCAAAATTGATTTACCCTTTTTATACAGTTTTAAACTAGGTTATCCTGTGCATTAAACATATTACTTTATTTTTTATCATTTAAGATTTATTTATAGATGCTTACATATGTAGTAAGAGCAGTAAAGCAAGCATGAGAAAGATAAATACAAATTGATGGTGGCAGTTATTTCTGGGGAAAGAATTAATGGGTAAAAACGTATATGGTTTAAAAAGTATTATACTTTGTGTTATGAAATATTCTCGCTTGAATGCATGTTAAAATGGAATAAAAGTGGAATAAGTTATAATACTGGTTACTTACAAACCAGATGATTAAACTTATCTTTATTACAGTGGTACCTGGGTGCTGTTACAATTATAGTATCTCAAAGGTAACAAATTATACTAAAAATGATATTGGAAGGTTTGCAACATGAGTGGTTTTTAATCTCATGCATATTTAAGAGGAGTGTGATGACTTGTATTATTAATATAATGAATCATTGAGAGCTGCTTACTGAAGGTTTGGAGTCTGTGGGAAAGTTAATATTTCAGACATCCATGTCTGTTAGGGCAATAATTATGGGCAGTGACTCCATGTGCATTGTTAGCTAATGAAGATAATGAAGGAGGATTAACTCAGGAAATTCATATGTATAGAACTTGTTCTAATAACACTCACAATGTTGAGCATTCGGCTCACACTGTATATTTATTTCTTTGCCAGAAGGCATGCAGAAGCCTAATGATTCATTTCTGTCTTAAAGCCAAAGATAATTGTACTAGAAGAAAAATGGCCATACTGTAATTTAGCTTGATTAATACGTATCTACCTATGGCTAGCTTTTAGTTTTGTTATTAAGGACATGGATCACAGCTATTTTTTGAATTTTTTTAATTCCCCAAGGGCTTGAATATTTAGAGGAGGGAGAATGTGCTAAAAACTCTTAAAGGGGTAGTGTTGACACTCAACACAACAAGGAATCAAGGAAGGAGTTACCTTCTGCTGAGAACAGATCATCACAGAAGGGTTTGTAGAGGATGTAACACTTGAGCTTCTATATGGTTAATAGAGAGTAGGTGGGAGATGGTTCCTATCCTCCCAGAGCTATGTAGTCTTGGTGGTGGTGATGGGGGAGCAAGGGGATATGATACATAAGTATGGGTAATTTAAATTTTAAATAGTCAGTGGCACAAAATAAAATTTGGCATCTCTAAGTAAACATTCTATGTGCTTCTCGAAGCCCATGGCTAATTGAGGTGACATAAAGAGAATGAGCTCCACTAATTATTAGAATGTTTTAGTACCATTGTGACCACATATACACATTGTATATTTGTAACTGAATGCAAGTCCAGATGCTCTCTGCTTGTATAGTCCAATTAACCAGAGCAAGGCCTAGTAAAGACAGTGACATTATTAACCAAAACTAGTAAAAATGGGGACACAGCCAGATTCCTATTCAAAGTAACTGCTCTGATTTGGGTTGGGGGTTGGTGGAAGGCAGGGACTTAAAAAGGGAAAACTGGATAAAGAAGGCATGCAAGAATTGGGCCAAGTACGATGTCTGTGTGTCTTGTTCTGGTGGCTGACTTGGGTCCCAGTCCACCTAGAGTGTGGGCTGATGTCACTTCAACAATGGCTGGGTTGTTAACTAGTGTCCTTGGATTAATCTCTGGAATTTTGTAGCTGGATCTCCAGACTTGGTCTGTCTGTCTCAAGATTAGCTCCTGGAACTTCTAAGAAGGCATATAATGAGATACTAGCATAGGGTTAGATAGATATGCAGGGAGTATGTACCGTGAGAAAGGGAGAGACGTGGAGTCTTTTTTAAGGCTAAGGAAAGTCTTCTGCACTTTGCCTTAAGGTTGTATCTTGAAACCCAAGAGAAAGAAAGAAAACATTGAAAATGCATTTTGAAGTTCAGCTGCCCAGTTACATTTTTTTTTTTTTACTTTTTTGTATGTAGTAACCTACCAGTTTCACATTCTTTTAGAATGAAAACTGAATACAATTGTTTTTAGCAGTGTCTTTATTTTTAGATTTACAATGAGGAAGTGACAGAGAAAGTCTCCAATTTCTGTAAAACTTTTTGTTT